TTTTGGGCCAGCTTTAGCTCTGAGGCCTCGCTGCTGAAAACATGGATACAATGTTTCGGTCCGGCTGGGTTTCAGTCCGGCTGTTTTCTGGGGTTTTGTTTACCTTCTTATTTGCAACATAGTATATAGTTGCTTAGAGTTGCAACTGAGAGGCTGGCAAGTGAGGCGGGGAACGTTGGAGTCTGCAGCAAGCAAGCCTTATGCTCGCTTCAGTGCCTGGCTGCCGGCCGCCATCTTGGCTGACAGTTAATTTGCATATACTCACTGATTAGCCAATGAAAAGGGTAGCGGTCGTACGCCAATTACCATGTTTCTCTTTTATTAGTGTAGATGATTCAATATATATGACATTAAAGGACAAGCCAGATTAACCTATGGTAATAGAAATCAGAACGGTAGTTACTCCTCAAATAAGTGAATTTACTGGAAAAGGATGAAGCACAAAGGAACTTCACGAGGTGATGGCAATGTTCTACATCTTGATTTGGGTGTGGTTACATTTGTCTTAACTCATTAAACTAACATGTATTACTTTCATGCTGAGTGAAGCCCACCACCCTGCTTTTTTTCCCAGATCCTTAAGTAGACTTATACTTCAACAAGAGAAGGCCTTCCTGTGCCAGACTAAAACCCAACTAAAAATCAGCTCACCACACACAGCCTTCTCCAAGCCCAGGAGGCCAGGGACTCCATCCATCTTGTCCACTCCTATATCTCCAGCACCTGGCACAGTGCCTTACATAAAATAGGTACTCCATAAATCTCTGATAAACAGTGACTGGATGTTCTACTATAAAGGGAGAAGCTGTTCTAGACAATTTTGAGAAGAATGTGGACACATGTGATATTATTATTGAATAAAATGTGGTACTGACTCAAAGACAAAAGGCTGCTAGGATGCACCAAAAGACAATTCCAAAAGGCAAAACAAAAAAGTTCTCTTGATGATATTGAATTAAAGCCATAAAACACTATTTGTAGTCTAGGAATCCCAATGGTAAAGATTCATTTAAAACTTCAAGGCCATATTATTACATAAGACCAGAATTTATCTCAATAAGAAACTAAATAATTGAACTATTCTAGACAGATATTTGAAAGAGAAAAATGACAGCCTTGATCATAAGTATCCTATAAGTACCTCTAATAAGTGGGATATTCTAGAAACCCAAGCCAATCTCTGAACTATTATCTGAGGCTTGTAGTTTCAATCAATAATCCAGTGTATCTCCATTCCAAGTAATAGTCAAAGAATTCAAATGAAAGACTGCCATTTAATCCTATCAAACTGCAGTCAACAAAACTTCTTTTTCTTAAAACAGTTTAATACTAACCATACATTCCTCTACATTTTTCAGCTTTAACCCTGCACAGTCAGATCACCAGAAAGCACCATATCTTTAGTTTAGTTTCCCACTAAAATGTCCTCACTAGGTTATTAATATTTACTACTAGAGGCCTGGTGCATGAAATTCACGCACGGGTGAGGGGTCCCCTCAGCCCAACCTGCCCCCTCTCCAATCTGGGACCCCTCAGGGGATGTCCAACTCACAATCCGGGACTGCTAGCTCCTAACTGCTCACCTGCCTGCCTGCCTGATCACCCCTAAGTGCCCCCCCACCAGCCTGATCACCCCTAACCACCTTTGCCGGTCGGCCTGATCACCCCTAACTGCCCCTCCTACCGGCCTGGTCGCCACACAGCCTGCTGTTCAATCATTTCGTCGTCCCTCACTGCCCCCCTA